CAGGGCTAAACTCTTTATGAAGGTTGTCTACAAACGATGCCTCCATTTCCTTTCTACTTATTCTCAATTCAGCGGTCTGACTTCTGATCTCTGGATTTTATTCTCTCCAAAGTTACTAATAATCTTTTAATTGCCAAATCTAAGGACCTTTTCTCAATTTTCATTCTTCTTGACCTTTGCAACCTCTGATACTGTTAATCCCCCTCTTCTCTTTGTCTAAGTTTTCATGATGCTCTTCTCTCCTAGTTCCCCTTCTCTGGCCATTCCTCCTCAGTTTCCGTTGGTAGATTATCATCTAGGTCAAGCACATGACTGTGGTGTCTCCAAAGGCTCTGTCCCGGGGCCCACTCCTCTTCTCTTCTCTCTCTGTACTACCTACCTTGTACAGGCCCTCCTCATCTCATGCTGGGACAATGGCAAAAGCCATTTCCTTGGTCTCCCTGGCTCGAGGATCTCCCCACTCCAGTCCATCCTCTACTCAGCTACCAAATAATCTTCCTAAAGCCTAAGTCTGACCATGTTATAGCCTCCTCCCCCCATTCAATAAACTCTGGGGGCTCTCTTTTGCCTCCAAGATCAAACAGAAACCTCTGTTTGGCTTTTAAAGCCCTCCCTAACCTAACCTCTTTCTACCCTGCCAGTCTTCTGACATCTTACACCCTGCCCCCCCAATCTACAATCCAGTGACAATGAGCTCCTTGTCATTCCTCACACACAACACTCCACAGCCTGACTCTGGATATTCTTGCCAGTTGCCCCCCCCCATGCCTAGAACTCTCTCCCTCCTCATCTTCCCCTCCTGGCCTCCTTTAAGTCTCAGCTAAAGCCCCACCTTCCGCAAGAAGCCTTTCTTGATCCCCTTTAATGCTCCTGCCTTCCCTCTGTTGATTATCTCCAATTTATCCTGTGCAGATCTGTTTGTTCATAGTTGTCTGCATACTGTCTTCCCCTTTAGACTGTGAGCTCCCAGAGAGCAGGACATGGCTTTTGCTGTTCTTTGTATGCCCAGCACTTAGCACAATGGTTGGCACACAACAGGAATAGAATAAAAAGCTACCTGACTGATAACAGTTGGAAAGCATAAAAGGGTCAAGGGAAAGGTTTTTTTAAAAATGAGAAAAACTGAAAATGTTTGTAGACAGATGAGGAGGAACCAGCGGAAAGAAAGGGAATGGAGACAAATGAGATGACTGCAGGAAACATCAAGGAATGGAATCCAGAGCACAGGGAGAGGGGTTCCCTTTACAGAGTCAGGAGGCTGCCTCATCTGTGATCAGAGAGAAAGAAAGAAGGGGTAAGGAGTGCAGAGAAGTTCTATGAACTGAAGGGAACCAAATAAAACTAAAACAAAAAATAAAACCTAACTTGACTTTAGGGTTCACCAATGAGGATGGCAACAATCCTACTGTTCTTTACTTTGGTCAGATCGCCTCTGAAATACTGTTTTTTATTCCCAGTACTACATTTTCAGAAGGACACTGACAAATGAGCACATCCAGAAGGGTGAGGGGAATGGAGACCATTCCACTGATAGGACTGGCTGAAAAAACTGGCTACTTAAGAGTATGGGATGTTGGAAGATATTTAGTGTGGAGGACCCCAATCTCCATCCACCATAAACCTCTGCAACTTGTGCTACTGACCCGCTGAGAAAATCACATTACCATTCTGGCTGGGTCCAATAAAAATTCATGCTATCTCACTGCAAGTGGGAACTCACTTTTTGTATGGTGAAACTTTTATTTTTTCCTTAACTGACTCTATCCATTCACCTTAGTAGTTATTCCAAAACTTTCCTCAAGGATGTAATGCTTCTACTTCCTGCCCTTTAGTGGGCATCCTTGATTCTTACTTTATTAAGAAAATTCAAGATTATCCATTAAAAGCTCTTTTCATCTGTTAGTCCATATTTCAGAACTCTTCTACATCTTCACCCATCCTTGCCTCCTTTACTCCCATTTCTGAAGAAGAGATGGCCCTTCTCTTTGCCAAGACCACACCCTCTACCTGTGCCCTCAACTCCTCCCCCTCCACTGCAATTTGCCCCTTCATTTCTCCTCTTTCGTCTTCAATCTTTCTTTCCTTGTCTACTGGCTCTTCTCTACCCTACTCTTAAAAATTTTCTAACTGATCCTGCCATCCCCTCAAAAAATCCCTCTAAATCTTTTCTCCTTTTTATCACCAAATTCTGTGAGTTGTTCACACTTAATACCTCCTGACCTCCCACTCACTTATGACTGCCCCCTTCCCCCTCCTTGAAATTGCTCTCTCCAAAGCTACCAATGATTCAGAACTAACTGGCTATTCAGACTCAAAGAGCAGCTATGAATGGCTGGATGTTAATGTGGCAGGAGGTCTCCAGCAGAGTACTTCAATCAATAAATATTTATTAAGTGCCTACTATATACCAGTTTTGTGCTTTGCCCTGTGCTGTTTAACATTTAACATATATAAAGATATAGATGCCATGATCATCAAATTTGCAAAGGAGACACAAAGTTAGGAGGTACTTAACTGTCAGGATCCAACAATATTTTGACAGGGTATAGTGCTGAATCTTTCAAGATAAAAAAATCATTGAGGATAAAGGTCAAAATCTTATACTTATGCACAAAAAAAAATCATTTTTACAAGTACAAGATGGGGAAGGTGTTGTTAGACAGCTGTTTGCCTGAAAAAGATGGGGGGTTTTAGTGGACTGCAAACTCAAGAAGTCAGCACTGTGATGCCACAGTTCCCAAAAATCTAGTAAGATTGTGGACTGCATTAGACCAGCACAAGTCCCAAGAATAAGGAGGTCATGTAGTCTCCTCTGCACTGTGCCCTTGCCAGCCTTTTGTCTAGTTCTGGGCCCTACAATTTAAGGATGATATTAATAAGTTAGACAGTGTCCAGAGGAAGGATGGTGAAGTTTATGTCATACGAGGGTCAACTGAAGAAACTGGGCGTGTTTTATAAACGTCCTTGTGGGAAGATTTCCTGTTTTGTCCTGGTACCTGTTGCCCCACACATGGGGTCTGGCAAAGAGGAGATACTGAACTGAAAAGGAGATGTAATGATTGTACATAGGTATGGGCGGTGTGAGAACATGGATTAGTCTTGTTCTGCATAGTTCCAGAAAGCAGAATGAGGAGAATTGGGTGGAACTGTGGAGAAGTGATTTGTCTGCCTCGATCCCCTCGTCTCTTTATAGCTGTTAAAGGGATATTTCTAAAACACAAGCCTAACCTTGACACTCTCCCACTCAGTAAGATCCAACGGGTCCCTACTGCCTCTACAATCAAATACAAACTCTCCATAAGCTGGCTTCAACTCAGTCTTCTTTATGTGTTCTATGTTCAATCCAACCGATTTCTTGCTGTTGCTCACAAATGACATTCCATCTCTCACCCAGTGCCTTTACACAGGCTGTCCCTCACAGCTAGCCTGCCCTCCTTACTCACCTTTGGTTCTCAGAACCCCTCACTTCCTTCAGTGTCACTTTCTACATGAGACCTGTGCTCATTCTTCCAGACACTAGTGCTTCCCCATGGAATTAGCTTGTATTTAGTGGATATATCATTTCTATATAGAAGCAAGAACACCTGGTTTGAGCTCTATTTCTGACACATACTTGACTGTGTGTTCCTGGGCAAGTTATTTCACCCCTAAGCACTCCTAGGCAGCTAAGACTGTAAGTTGCAGAAGAGTTGACAACCTGCATTAGAAGGAAGGAATTTCCTCCTACATCAGTGAAATCACAGGTCTAGAACCTATAGCCCCCTCCTTCAATTTTTGTATACACTTATATGTGAATGTTATCTTCCTTGATAAAACATAAGCTACTTAGGGCAGGAACTGCTTCATTTTTGTACTTGTACCCCTAGTAACTATCTCAGGATCTGCCATAGAGTAGGCGCCTAATAAAAGCTTGTTGATTAATTTATTGTTCAATGTTAGGAAAAACTTCCTAGCAATTAGAGGTGTCCAAAAAGCAAAGTGTTGCTCCATGAAGTAAAAGGTTCTCCCTTGAGATGAAGCTTGATTATCACTTGTTCAGGATGCTATAGAGGAGATTCTAGTTTAGATCTAAACTGAACTAGATGACCTCTTGAGGTCCCTTCCTACCTGAGATTCTGTGGATTTAAGGGAACTAACACTGGAGACTATTATTCCATATGGGAAGGAGGGATATAGTTGGGAACAAGAGAATAAAACGTCTGGAAAAGTTGCTATAGGAAATATATATATATATACATTTTTTTTATGATAATGGCAGCATAAAAGGACTGGCAAACAACATGGAGAATCTAACAGAGGTTATGCAGGGACCCTTCCCACTCTAAGTCTATAATCCAATGATCCTGTACACTGTGACTGGAACGGTCAGAGGACAGAGCAAAGCCAACCCTTTTGATGCAAGTCTGCACTTGACCCTGGCCTCCTTAGCACTGCTCTGACTAAGCAAGCTGATCAGCCTCACATCATCAGTACAGACAGACAGAAATCTGTTGATGCCTACCTAGACCTGACAGAAATTTGGCCATAGAAGACAACCTAAACCATGGAGGAAACAGTGGAATGGGAGTAGTTCTAGCCTTGCTTCCAACTATGTGACCATGGGTAAGTCTCTTCATTTCTCTACATTTTCATTTGGCCCGAGTCCTTCCCTCACGAGAATTCTACAAGGATTTGCCTACCTTCTTCTTTTCTAACACCAGAGTATCTCATACAGACAGCAGTTTGTAGCCCACACTCCTCAAACCTGCCACACAAACGGCTCATTGAGCTATCAACATTCACAAAAACTACATTTTGCTAGCTTGGAGGTAGAAGAATCAAGCCAAGTGTTATATATATCATATGCTAAGCTATACCAATCAGCTTTTTATCTCTTCTCTGAAATGCCATTTGGTCTTGCTAATCAGCAAAGGGCTATGAATTGAACTCATTCAAGTCAATTTCCTTGCCATAATACAGCAGCAGGAGGTTTGTGCGCATGTGGTGTTTTTTTTTTTTACCATATTCGCCAAATCGAAGGGACTCCCATTGTTGCCACTCCACCAGAACACTAACAGCTCGCACACCTGCGTAGATAAGCAGCATCCCCAGGGTGGCATCCAGGAGGAAGTTGATAAGATACCTAAAGGAAAAGGTGTACACAGGCATGGTCAGGACAAACAGAAGCATCAGCTTCTAGTCTCAGACAAAGGGACCTTCATTTATGGGGACATCATGCTTCCAGAAAGTGGTATACCACAAAGCATTGATGGCCAATTTAACTACCAGACAGTTAAAGCACCTTGGTAGGCTGCTAGATTTGGGGTGTGTATTTGTAAGACGTTACATAATTTTCAAAAGGCATTATAACTGTCCATTTTTAAAGATAACCCAGCAGTATACCCAAATCAGTCCCCAACAAGTACGGTAAGAGGTGATTATTTGTATTTTTAAAGGATTCACCTACATCCCGTTCCTTTAAATATGCTTACCCTGGTGAACTGAGGTATTAGTTTACAGGTCATTAAGTACAATTAATATCTGTTGGACTGAATTAGATTGGGAGGAAGAGCAGAGAAAGAATAAAAATAATTTATAAAGCAGAATGACTGCACCCAACCAAGAAATGATTTAATAGAAATTTAAAACCATCTAGAAATGAGGGCAGAAATTAATGGGAAAACAGGTTTGATTTACAAATATTAATTCATTTGACACATATTCACTGAGCAACATCTATGTACAAGGTACCATACTAGCTTTTCAGGAAAGTGATGATAGAAACCACACAAAGTATGTTCATAGTCCCTAGCCTGAAGTGTAAGAGGAGAACGTTAAGGTAAAGATAAGTATCACATCTTCAACCTGATCTTTCTTATTCTGTTTCAGTCTGGTTGCTATTATACTGACTATGACTTCTAATTTGCCTTCGTCTAATGCTGTCATCCCCTGAGGCTCTCCCTGAAAGGGATAAAGAAGGCTACAACAGGAGGCAGTGCTCCACCTGCTGGCAACACCCTCATAAAGCAGAGGTATGCTCTGCATATCTTTGGGGGCTTTTTTTATGGACAATCAGAGTATTTCCATCATGGCACAGTGAAAGAGTCAAGAGATCTAGGGTCTTCTACTAGCTCTGTCACTAACTTGTTGGGTGACTCAGAACCTATGACTTAATTCACAGGGTAACAGATTTAAAGATGGAATGGATTTATAGTCCTAGTCCAAACCCTTAATTTTAAAGACAAGTAAACTGAAGCGCACGGAATTGTGACCATTTCAAGGTCACACAGATATTGCGTGGAAGGGCTAATGGCCTTAGAATCAGGAAGAAGTACTTTCAGATCTGCCTGTGACACACATTAGATGTGTGATCCTGGGCAACCTCTTAGTGCCCCAGGCAATGCTCTCAAGATAGATTATATAGGAGCTGCAGATGGGAATCTGGGGGGGGGGGAGTGCGCATCCCTGTGCAATTCCCCAGGCCAATAAAATCACGGGCCTGGGCTCCTATCCCTGCCAAAAGAAAATCCTCATTCAATTCAATTCTGCATTTTTAAACACTGACTACAAGCAAAGGACCAACTGATTTCCACAGTGCCCTAACAGATATAACACTGTGATTCTACAAATAAAATTAGCACTCTGAAAGCCCTGTCCTGAGAAACTTGGCAATGCACATCTAATACAAGGTTTATCCATGCCTTCTATTTGATAAGAATGGGATCTAGGCCCTAGAAAGGCAAAACACGGGGCTTTCCCACGTAGCCAAATCTCTGGCGTTCCCTTGAGGCCATGATTCCATCAATTGGCCTTTCCTTTTGGATACACCCAATTCCCAATTCTGTTAACCTAGCCTGGTCTTCCTTAGTCTTACCCCCCTATGCATGTCCCCCTGCCATTTCCCACCCTTAATCCTAGCTAGACTCCATTCTCCCTTGGCCACAAGGTCCAGGTCCCAAGAGTTCTGTTCACCCCAGCTTACTGGTCACTCCTACATCCCTCCCACAGTCTTTCTGTATATAAGGTCCACCTTGTCTCCATTAAGATGCTGAGATTCTTAAACTCTAGCCACTGCTGAGATTCTTATAATCTAGCCAACTGCTTACTCATGTTCGGACTCCTTAAGAGTCTGCCCAATATGAAGGATGTTCTAATAAACCTTGTCTTTGGCTGAAAGAAGACCTGGGTTGAATTCTTTGGGCAGGATCTGCGTGTTATGATTTTGGGGTCCCAGCACCCCTGAACCGCATCATATTGAGCAGCATAGGCTTCTGACACAGGTAAAAAGTTGTCCTACATTCATTAACAGGCAGAAGAAGCAGACGGGGCTCCTCAAACTCATTTAGGCACAAGTTACTCTAGCAGCAACCAGTAGTTTCTTAAAAAGCCCCTGAGGGCTATCCCATCTGCCTGGATTCCTCTGGCATCTAAGAACAGGGAACCTCCTTATGACTAAATGACTTCTAAGATCTTTCCAGCATTATGAGCACTAGGCCTATGATCTGATCATTCCCAGGCTGAAAGCCATAAACCCCTAGAGCTTGCCCAACATTAATTTCTTTCCATGGAGAGAGTGGCAGACTCAACTTGTTCTAATCTATGTCAGTCCCATCACAACTGAAAATTAACAAAGGATACATCAATAAACAAACTTTTATTCAATGCTTCCTGTGTTGGGCACTATACTTGGCATTGGGAATACAAGGGAAAAAATGAAAGTCTCTGCCTTCAAGGAGATTACATGCAATTAGGAGAACCAATAGGGGTGTGTGCTTGCAAATATGCACATACATAAATCATATAAAAGTCTTTGGAGGGGGCAGCAATAGGAGCTAGGAGGCTCAGAAAGAACTGCATGTAAGAGGTAACATGTGATCTGAGCTTCCAAGGAAGCAAGAGGATTCTAAGAAACAGAAAAGCAATATGATGGTTGGGGGGGCAGGGAACAGTTGCTTTGCCCACCTACTTGTCTTCCCCCTGAAAAATCACAAGAGGTCACTGTTGGATCACAGATAAAAAGAAACAGCAGCTTGTTTTCATCATCATAACCTAGAATCACAGAATATCAAAAACTAAAGAGATCCTTAGAGATTATCTAGACTACACTGCTTGTTTTACAGATGAGGAAACTGGGTGCCAAGGAGGGGAATAACCTGCCCAAGGTCATAAAGCTAATGGCAGGGCCAAGATCAGAACTCAGTTTTCTTTTTTCAGTATTTCTCAAACTCTTGCCAAATTATTCTTTTTTTTTTTAAATGAACATTATGTTGTTTGTTAATAGGCATTAAGAATAATAATTTGAAGATTTTACTACAAGGGTTCAGCCAAAGTTTTGTTTAAACTAAAGGATTCTACCACTGTGGAAAATTTTGAGAAGCACTGTGTTACATCATACAACCTCCCTCATGAGTTTATAAACTAGCAGTAATACCCACCCTGAACTTCAGGTATAGGATTTATTTTTTTTAACCACACAATTTCAGGGCTGGGAGGGGCCCAAGAGCTAGTCCAACCCACTACCTGATATAAGAATCTCCAGCAAATGGTCCTACAAATTCTGCCTAAAGACCTCCAGTGACAGAGAAAGTCTATGTTGATGAGGATGGGAGCTAAACCCCCAAAAGGAAAAACCCTGGATTTTCCCATAGGGCCAAATCTCTGGAGTTTGCCTAAGGCTATAACCCTACCAACTGGCCTTTCTTTGTGGCTATACCCAATCTCCCAATTCTGTTACCCTTAACCTAGCCTAGCCCTCCCTATGGCCCCTGACCATTTCCCATACTTAATCCTAGCTAGGCTCCACTGTCCAGGTCCCAGGAGTTCTGTTCACCCCAGTTTACTGGCCACTCCCATCCAGATCTCCTTAGACATCTCTTTTCATCACCCCAAACTACTTGGCCACTCCTAGATCCCTCCCATAGTCTTTCTGTATATAAGGTCCATCTTGTCTCCATTAAGATGCTCAGATTTTTAAAATCTAGCCACTGTTCAGATTCTTAGAATCTAGCCAATACTTACAGACTCCTAGATTCCTCAAGGGTCTGGCAATATGGCAGATCTTTAATAAACCTTGTCTTTGGCTGAAAGAAGGCTTGGGTCGAATTCTTTTGGGCAGGACCCACATGTCGTGATCTTGGGGTTCCAGCACCCCTAACCTTTGGACCTTCATCATATGTCTCTTATTTGAGCCTGCTTCAAAAGTTTCTTGCACTAAATCACAGACCTCTCCTAAAATAACAATGGTATTTGACATTTGCATTGCATTTAAACATTTTTAAAGTATTTATACACCTGTTCTCCTGTAGTTTGTATAACATTCCTGTGAAGCAGGGAGGGTCAGGACTTATTATCCCACTTTACAGCTAAAGAAACTGAGGCCCAGAGAGAGCAAGGAATCTCTCCAAAATCACAGAGAATCCAAGTTTCTTTATTCTTAAGCCATAGCTTCCTCTATGATGTACAAGGTACTTCTGGCCATCTCAGCATTACAGTGATGGGGTGATGGGACCTGGACCCTAAAAGGAAAAGACCATGTCTTTGAAAGCAACCGAGTCCCTGAATTTTCCCATACATTTCAGCAGTGCAGTTCACAGCCGCCTCCACCCAAAGTAACTGACCCATCCGGGACCACCCAGATTACCTAATTAGCTTATACTCCTTTCACAAGTAGCTCTTGGCCCATTTGCCACTCCTTAATCCCAGTCCTTTCTGTATATAAACATCAGTCTCACCTTCATTAAGCTGCAGATTCCTTAAGATTCTGGAAGCCACTATAGGCTACAATTAACATTGTCTTTTGATTGGAAGATGGTTTGAATGCATGAATTCATTCCAGGCAGATGTGGCCCTGTACCCTGACATTTCAGGGCTCCATGCAACCCCAAAACATATCAACAGGACCGTCCATATACATCTGGTCTCTCTTAGTAAAGAGGTAAGATCTACCTAAAGATATGAGGATTTAATCATTTTATTTGCTTGAAATAAATCAATAAACTCTAAGACTACAATAAGTGAGAATTCTCCCCTTATTAATTTGCCAATGATGATGTCGTATCTCAAGAGAGGAAATAGGGTGCCTAAAAAAGCCCCAGCCCCCTGTCTCCATACTATGCAACACCCATACTATCCCAGACAGGCTGGCAACTACTCCAGTTCTAAAAACCACACGGAATAATAATGAAATTGATAACAGTAACATCAACAAAGTTTATGCAGCACTTTTAAGTTTTCAAAGTGCTTTACAAACATTATCTTATCAATCTTAATAGCATCTACTTCACAACAACCCCACAATAACCCCATTTTACAGAGAAAACCAAGACAGAGATGAAGCCCAGGGTCACCTAGGCAATAACAGGCAGGACTAGAATTCAGATTTTCCTGCCTCCAAGCTCAGTGTTCTATCCACTATGCCATCTAGCTGCCAAATGAGATAACACAGGTAAAATATTTTGAAAACCTTAAAATGATGTATAAATGAGGAACAGAGAGTCTTACCCCAGTTCTATCTCATGAGAAAGGGGGAGATTATCTAGTAGGAGGGAGTGGTCTATTAACATGTCAAAAGCTTCGGAGGGAACAAGAAGAAGGCCAGCCAATGTGATGACTGTTGCGTCCCACACTTTGTGACCCTGTGGACCATGTGACACCCATACTGTCTGTGGGGTTTTCTTAGCAAAGATACGGAAATGGTCTGCCATTTCCTTCTCCAGTGGATCATGGCAAACAGAAGTTAAGTGACTTGTCCAGGATCATATAGCTAATAAGTGTCTAAGGCCCAATTTGAACTTCAGGTCTTCCTGATTCCAGGCCCAGTTCTCTACTGAGCCACCTAGCTGTCTCTTAGGATTTGATGACTAGGTCACTGCAAAAATTTGAGAGAACAATTTCGGCAAAACGGTAGAAATGTAAGCCAGACTACAATGAGACGAAGAAAAATTAGGTAGTGAAAAAGTGGGGACAGTGGTATAAACAACTTTTTCAAGAAACCTGAAGTAAAGGGGAGAGAGAAGGGATCCTGAATTAGGCCCTCATCACCTCTACCATAACCATCTCTAATTGGTCTTCCAGCCTCTCACTTCTCTAATCCATCCTCCATACAGCTACCAAAATAATCTTCAAATCCTAGTCTAAGCTTCCACAGTTCCTTATAATCATTAAGATGAAAAAAATACAAGCTCCTCAGCTTGGCATTCAAAGCCCAGCGTACTCTGGTCTCAGTTTACTTTTCTAAGTTTATCAGACACTTCTCCCTTTCACACACTCCAAATTTCAGCCAAACTGCCTCAAGCCATTGCTTTAATTCATCATTTCACTTGCTGGCCACAAGCCTAGAAGATTCCCCAAAAGATGCAAATTATCTACTTATCTGTGGCAAGTCTGGGTGAAATGTAAACTATTTTAAGGCAAGGGCTGGGTTTTTGAACTTTGTATTTCTTATCTCCAAGCACAATAGGTGTTTAATTAGTGCTGGTAGAACTGAACCACAAAACAGACAGACTGAATAGGGATGGTTGTTTGTTTGGGCAGAATTCAGAACAGAACAATAAATTCCCAGCTCCTGGCAACAGTATATAGACTAAATTTCAGTCGAATGTGCTACAGTTGGAGAAGCAGCTGGTCACCTGTTTTACGAGCAAGTGCTCCACCAGAACTCCAGGCTCCTTGTTAAGTGAGAGGCACAGCACAAGCTGCACACAGATTATAAGATATGGATAATTAAGTACCTATTGGCAAACCATCCATTTTGTGACAGTACTTGTATCCCCTCCACACTCGAACCTCACATTGTCTGGAGTAGAAAGGAAGTACCCTGAGTGAAGGTCTCCTACATACCATGGCCACTCTAATCCAAGCCCTAAGGCCTCTCCTCCGGACTACCGCAATTGCCTGCCTCTTGTGCAAGCCATTAATTTTGCTCTCATAATTCTCATTTCTCTTTTGAATCATTCAGAAACAGTAGGTTGTGGTTCCATGTTCTCACATTCACTTCTTTCTCATCTATCAAGTACTGGCTCCTTTTCCTTCGTTTTGCAGTATTTATTCACAGATGCCTGACCTTGGTTTCCTTGGTGCCTGGATCTTCAAGTATCTTAGCCTCCTCTCATCATGGATGATTCACAGTTTGCTGGCTCAGGTCTCTGCCCCAAGTGGCTTTTGGTTGGTCAGAATCAGCCCCAGGTAGATGCTCCTTCCCTCGGGCTTAGTAGAGCACGCAGACTCAGATAGACACAGAGACACATACACACATACACACACACACACACACACACACACACACACGGAAGCTGGGGCTTCCATGGCACTGGAAAAGAGGGACCAAGGACTGGGGGACGGGAGAAGTTTTTGTTGTAAGTCTGTGTCAGGTACCCAGGTGTGCTAGGGCAGCCTTGCTGCTGGTAGTGGGGAAGGTAGGGAGAGGTGTTGCATGAGTAAAGCTTCAGCGAGCATCACGTCATGGGTTCTGTTTTGTTTTTTATCCATAACTGAAATTGCTTTATCTTTGGCCTACAATTTCTGTTTTAGAGAGGTTTGAGAGTGTGGGGATCAGAGAAAATGTCTAGTCTTTTATCTTGTTGCTTATATGACTCGGAAGTCTGCCACAATCACCTAAATGATCTCCCAGTGTCTCTCCTTTCTGGTCCATCACTGACATAGCTACCAAATGGATGTTCTTAAAGTGCAGGTCTAATAACCACGTCATTCCTTTGCACTAGAACCTTCAGTGCAATACCCTCTGTTTGGCATTCAAAGCCCTTCAGAGCCTGGCCTTAGCTATTATCCCTCATACACTTTAGGCCTCCTTGTCATTTCCTGTATGCCACATCCCATCTCCTAAGTCTATGCTTCCACTTCCATTCTATTCCTCACACATGGAATACTCTTCCTCCTCACTTCTACCTCTTGGAATGCTGAGTTCCCTTCAAAGCTCAGCTCAAGGGCCAGTGCTTTCAACTGGCCTTTTCTGATTGGTGGGGCAGTTTAGGTTCCTTCTCAGTCCCTCACTCCACCCCAATCCCCAAGCCAATCGCTGTTTTCTTTTTGTACATATCTTGTATTCACTTATCTGTAAACATGCTGTATGTTCCTAATAAAACGTAAGCTCCTTCAGGGCAACAACTCACTTTTGAATTTGTATTCCTAGGACTCAGCACACAGTAAATGCTTAAATCAATGCAAATTAATTGATCTAACAGGGCAGAGATGTACTACAGATGAGAAATAAACAAAAATGGGTGAAAGGCTCTTCAAAACTGAAAGCGGTCTAAGAGGAAGAACAGAGACCCATCATTTGCCTATAAGAAGCCCAAATTCTTATGTCTCTTGGGAAAGGAATAGATCGAGGCCAACAGAGTGTGTGCAAGTGAAGTTTGGGCAAAGCTATGTCAAACACAGAATACTTACAGTGAACAAGGGTCCTCTTCAGTAAGGTCTGATAAATAGACATTCGCAAAGTGGATGAACAACATTCCTATGGCTTGTTTTGAAGTGTCTAGAAACCTATACAGAAAAAGAAAGAGTGAACAATCAAAAGCAATGACTGAAAGAAATGGGAGGCTTTCATCTCCCAAAGACAAGCACAGTATCAGGGAATTACTGGATGGAAAGAAAGCTGAGAGATGCAACAGGTCTATAAGCCCACATTAGAGAGAGATATTTCTCCCATTTCATCTCTCACTAGGATAGTCAAAGACAATTTATGGTTGGCATTTTGCCAGCTTCAGATACCATCAACAATATGACATTTGACAGGCCCACCATTACTACCAGTCACTAAGATTAAAACTACTTTTTGCTCTTCCATCTGATTCATTTACAATTTTTAAAATGTGACCTACTTGCTTCATACTGAAGTCCAAAAAACCTCATTTTAAAGACTCACCATTTGAGATTTGTTGGTAAGGTCTGACTTGGTGCAAGACTGAAAGGTACACAACATTATCACCCCCCTGCCCCCCCCTTACACCTTGCAACAATCTGAGCTGCTGCCATTTAAACAATGAGTGAGCGACGGAAGAACATCAGAGGTTGCCAGACCTCTGCACTGGGCTTGAAGGAAGTGTTGCTCTGTGCATGACACAGGTGTGGCTAAAAGGCAAAGTGTAGGATCTCAGTTTTTCATTACAGACACAAACTCCCCAAGAAAGCCCACAGATCTGTTTGTGACTGCCCCTTTACTTCCCAAGCTTATGTGTCCACTGCTGTGGTTTCCCATGGCTTCCAGCTGTGCCACATCTTTGAATTACAAAGCAGATGGATGAGAAACAAAGACTTGAACACAGAATGCTAAAGTTGCAACATATGTGGGAGAAAGAGGGTGTCTTTCTTGGAGTACCCAAAGTCTCAGTTAATAGTGGGTCTCTTTGTGACCACATTTCCTGAGAGGGGATTTTTAGTAATAAAAATGGCCAAGACAGTATATAAGATATTCTAACAGAGCTTTCACTGGCAATAAGTTCAACATGAGTGAAGTACATGGTGCTAATTCTCTAAAGAACTTGACAAAGGGATGTCTTGCAGTGATTCTGTCATAGGATTTTACCCATGTGGAGACTGCCTGCTTTACTGGTGGCAGGGCAGATACCCAAAGAAGTGGTTTAAAAGTTCATCTCCAGAAGAACTGTCTCTTTCCTTTTAAGTGGCTCTGTGCAGCTTTCTTTCAGAAGCACTACCATCGTACCCCCAAGGGGAAAAGTTGCAGTATTACTGGCCAGCCTTTAACTTAAGTAACATTGAAGAATAAAAGAACCAGCAGCCAAAAGGCAGCATTAATATAAATTTGGAATGACAGACTTGATCTCCAAATTATGACTATTACATATTCAAGTTCACAGACTCCATCATAAGTGGATTCTAACTCATTAGCCTATCAAACTCTGAGAAGTCATCAAAAGAAGAGCCTGCAGGAGGAAATTGATGAATTAGTATTAGCTTGTCTTCAAAAACTGGAAAGCAGAGGGATGGTGCAATAAGAAAAGAATTTTTTTTAAATACCAGGAGAAAAAGATTCTCTTTTATCTTTCATATTCCCCAGATATTTGACTCTATAAAAGGCTTCCAAGTATTTTATGTCCCATGTTAGTGATGACTCTTCTTTTTTCACTAAATGAGCAGCTCACACACATAAAAGCATGCTAAAGCCATTAATACTTAAAACTTACCATATCCTCCATGGACGCCTTTCATGCTTTGGTTCTCTGAAGCGTTTGACTGAAAGAAAGGTAAAGACAGTCATTGTGGATTCCCCAAGAAACAGGATAAAGATGGATGATTAGCACACTAAGTGTATTCACAAGACTGAATTAAAGTCTTTATACCGAACATGTGTCAAGATAAGAAATATCCAACAAAAAGTTTATAACTTCTTACAATACTTTAAGAATGTATAATTTTGAAGCAGAGCCAAGATGGTGGAGTAGCAGGAAGCAGTACAGTAAGCTTCACTCCACAAACTTCTCCCACAGAGCTAGAAAACACATCCTAATCCTAATGGAGAAATCTAGAAAAAAAAAATTAGTGAGTCACTTCTCTAGGCCAGTTCAGCATAGGGAGATAAGACAGGGAGGCCTGTGGTCATTAGAAACAGGACTGGCAGAAAGCAAACTGCATTTGGAGCACTCCAGTGCCCAGGAAGAGGCTATACAATAGGGAAAGAGAAAGGTCCCGTACTAGTACTGAGGCATCTCCAGACTAACATTGGTCTAGAGATGCTCCAACATGCCATAGGGATGCCTACTGGCAGCATTGCTCCCCACAGTTCCAGGTCACAATTGCAAGTTGGACTGAGAAGGGGACCTGCATTGGCGAGGGGGGAGGACCTGGATGGTACACTGAGAAAAGAGGAAGTTCAGGAGCCAGCAGCCGAGGCAGGGTGACTCACACTCCAGGTGCTAAGCAGGGTCTCATTAAAGCATCCAGGTCAGCCTGCAGAGGAATAATCAAGGAAGAAATCCAGACCAAGGGGCAGTCTACAATTTTTCCACTCTAAACCAAGAGAGCTTTACAGTTAGTTGACAGGGGTAGAATCCAGAAGCAGTCTACTACTAAACAGATCTGAACCTAGGTCAAGAACTTGCAGAGTTCAGCCTGGGGGAGGCAGTAGTAAGACTTTGCCCTGGATTGAATCACCCTGGGAGCACTGAAAGATTCTGAAAAAACTCCAACTTGTCTCTGAGATGCTGGAATAATATAATACTCAATACCCCTAAAAAAGCAACAACAAGACCAGACCAGACTTTCCTGTAGCAGTGTGGAGGAGCCCAACCCTAACATCAAGTCTGAAGCCAGGAAGCAGGCTGAAAGGGGTAAAGAGAGGCCCGTGGAGACTCCACCATAATGGGCTATTATAATGATTAGTGATTGGGATTATCAAGATACAAAAGAAGAATAAAATAATGGCAAAACACCTACAAGAAATGTCTCAGACAAAAACACAGCTTGGGCACACACTTGACTAGGATTCCTGGAAGAGATGAAGCAAGAATTGGAAAAAAAAGTTTTTAAATATTTTTACAAATTGTTGGGGATCTGTAAGGATGTAGAGGACCACAGGCTGTTCTTGAGGTCTCACTGATGGGCGGAGGCCCCTCTCAGGTGACTGATCTATGAGCAAGATTGCCTGGTTCGGTGCTCCATTCTATGCATCTCTAACTTCCCTAGTTACTCATTAGTCATTAACAGTGTATTTGTGATTGGTGACAGATATGTGCACAGACTGTGCGTACACTGTCCTTGAGCACAGCATGGGTTATACGTCATTGTAACTTGAGAAAGAGTTCCTGTTATTTTACTATATAAGTAAGTGCTTTGCTAAAAATAAACGGAGTTGCTGCCATCCTGTCTCCCGCCTCATCAATGCGTGTTCAGAGTGAAAGATCAAGCTGGTCTTGATTCTTCAGGTGATTGGGAAATCCTAGGTCCTGGGTAGGCTCTGTAGCCGAGTGAACTAGTTGTGCACAATAAACTGGCGCCCAACGTGGGGTTGCACTGCTGCCGTGAAGCTGCACTGAAGATATGGAGAGTAAGACAGCTGCATGAAGCAGTTGGGAAACGTCTGGACCAAGAAGACGCGACACCCACATCAAGATATTGAGGTCTGTTGGAGCCAGGCAGCCTCCTTGTGAGAGGTCTCCAACTCGTACCCCGTTGCAAGACTACGGAGTGGCAAGAGAATTTCTTACCATGAGGCAAAATCTAGGTAAACTCTCAGATGAGGAACAAAATGTTAGAGTAATATATCAAGTGATCAAGGAACAGGGGTGCTCGGTAACTCCCAAGAAAATAAGAGAGTTTCTAGACATTATTGATATAACATCTCCATGGCTTCCAAGGGAAGGGAGTTTAGATTTACAACCATGGAAGATAGTGGGGGAACAAATGACAGAATTTTATAACACCAAAGGCCTGAAATCAGTTCCCCTGGGCACTTTCACTATATATAAGCTTATAAAAATGGGCTTGCAAGCTGACATACAGGGTGAGAAGAGAAAATTCCCTGCCTGTACTCAAACAACTTCTTTGTTGTGCTCACCTAACGGAAGAGACCTAAGATTTATAGGTTATATCGTGACTTAGCTGAAGCTTCAAAACCCCCTCCACACTCTCCACATCCTGAGCTGTTAGATAGACTCAAGCACCATGAGGAGAGATCCCTATACAATTACAGATTGTTTTGCCTTTTATAAAAACCAAAACCTTAAGAAAAATTTTGCTTGGTTTTAGAACCATGAAAAGAGGAGATAAAATAAAATAAAAATAATATTATTTCATTTGTGTAGGGAATTTCTGACAAGTTTCTCGCTTTTGGATTCTCTCTGTCATTTTGTTCTATGTTTGTCTGTGTCTGTGTGAATGATGGTCTGTGATTAATGTTTATAATTTATTTGATCTTTCACTGCCAGGCAGCCAAGGGCTGCAACTGGGTTCTGAAATGCTGATAGTGACTTTCTCCCCGTCCCCCTCCCTAATACCAGCTGCATTCCCGGGAGCGGGTGGATGGGGGAGAGAATGGGAGAAAAAGTACTTCATTATTTAGGTAATATAATTTGACAAAAGGCAAGAAAGTTTAAACATACAGGAATAAAGAAAAGTATGGATAGAAAGAATAATATAATCTGTTTGCATGAATAGCAGGAATAGATGATTTGAGAGTAAAAGATTTGGAAACTTTTGGAGAAAAAAATTCTCTTTCTTTTTTGCATTCTAAGGCTCTGGCCAAAGCTTTGGGTGTAAGATTGAAAGATTATGTTGAAAAATATTCTCTTCCTTTCTCTCGAATTCCAACCCTGGCCAGGTTGGGGTGGGGGAGAAAGAGGGAAAGATAAGGAGGACGAGTTTTCCTCTTAAGATCAAAAAGAAAAGTTTTTAAGTATTGGAACACAATCTAAAGATAATTTAGTTCATTCACATTAGCAATATGCATGTTTCAAGTTTTAAAAATCTAGTCTCATTACAAATTGGTACACTTTTATGTGTTATGTCAAGCAATTTTTAATAATTTAGATGTTATTAAAATGTGAACTAAAAGAAACTGAAAGGTAGTGAGATAACTGTGTAAATCCAGCTAAATTATTTTATCAAGTCCGGTTAATCTTGTTCTATGATTTTTTATAACTGTCATTTAGAAAATCAGGTATTTCTGTCTTTACCTATGATTAAAGAACAGCTTAGAGCTAAAACAATTTAACTATCACTCAGGAAAATTACCAAATTGTTAACTAAGTTATTTGAAGTTACTGTTTTAAAGTTAAGACCTAGAATTTTTAATTACTTCTGAGAGAAAAGGAGGGGCACAAGGCAATTCCCTTAACTTTGTAAGCTTGCCAAAAGCTCCTACCAGCTGTGTACCAAGGTCATCTGCTCTGAGAAAAGAATTTGTTTATGTTATTGAATTCCTAAACAATTCATTTAGCTTACTGCAAAACTGTAACTTTATATAAATAATTTCTAATAATTGGCTTTCTCACCAAGACAAGTTTAAATGTGGGAAAGAAAGGATGTTAAGTAAAATTTCTTATATATGTGAGACCTAGTAAATCTTTATTGCTTATTGCATTTCTATGAAAATAATTAACTGTATCTGGCTTTAAGCCATAATCAGTGAAACTTACTGCTTGAGGTAAAAGACTCTTAGAACTATAATTAATTTTGTTTTGAGTTTGAATTTGGGTATAGTTGTCTCATTAAATCAGTATTTCCCATTTTTCCTATTGTGATCCTTTAAGGAGGAATGTTTCTTACCATGTGCCGAAATTTTGTTCATAACACTATTAAACTTGTTAGTCAGAAATATTCCCAGACAAAAATAATTTATTATATGGATGATAAACTTTGCAGTTGTCCTACTACTACCAAACTCTCCTTATTAATGCCCAAGTTTTAACAAGCCTTTCAGTCTCATAGATTTATAATTACCCCTGACAAGGTACAAAAGGTATCACCCTTTGCTTACTTTAGGTATATTGTTCTACAGTCTACAAGCATACCACCAAAATGTTACAAATTAATCAAGATTCCTTGATAATTTTTAATAAGTTTCATACAATTTTTATGGATATTAATTACTTTTAGCTTGTCTAATAAATCACCACTAATCAATTATTTTAAGATGAATTTAAACTACTAGGATAACAGATAGCTAAAACTCAATTCATTTCCCCTTAATTTGTGGGTGCGATATTTTACATTTACTGAGAGCTGTTATTTTCTCCCGCCCACTGTTTGTGCTTTTTCTATCCATAAAACTGACAAAATACAAAATGAAATCTAATGAACTTGTTTGGGTTCCTTAAAATTCACCTGTTTCTATTATTGCAAAGAAGTTAGGAAAATTAAGATGCTTTATGACTTCCCAGCCTTTGATAGTTATTGATTTAAAAGATTGCTTTTTTACTATTCCATTACAAAAAGCTAAAAATGATACATTACATGGATGACATTTTATGTGCTCATCCTAATCCTGAAGTGTTAGAAGAAATTTTACAAAAAACACAAGAATTGTTGCAAAGTCATGGGCTTCAAATAGCCCCAGAAAAGATTCAAAAACATCCACCATTTCAATATTTAGGCCATCAAATACTTCAAGAGAAAATAGTTTTACATCCACCAACAATAGACCTACAAAAATTGAAAACACTTAATGATTTTCAGAAAATTATAGGAGATATACAGTGGCTTCGGTCACAGGTTGGCATTCCAAATTATAAACTGAT